GCCCATGACTTCATCACTGCGCTCTGCTGCCTCCTCCTGTTGACAGATTTCATAAGGCCCTCTTTTATGGACCCCAGGTTCTTTCTGTTCTCCTTCTTGTTCTTGTTCCTCTCCTTCTTCTTCCTCTTCTCTTTTACCTTCCTCTTCCTTTTCTTCCTCTTCTCTTTCTCCTTCCTCTTCTTTCTCCACTTCTCCTCTCCTCTTTCTTCTTCCTCTTCTTTCTCTTCTACTTTTTCCCTTTCTCCTCCTCCTCCTTCCTCTTCTTGTCATGGCATCTGCAGGTTTTTGTTGGCAAAGAATACATGGCAACTATTGGCCCAAGCTGGAGGCAGAAGGAGGAGAAAGGAGCCTGTGCTTCTCCTTGGTCTAGCTTCCATTGTGATCAGCCCTCTTCCAGATTCCCTCTCCAGTGAGGGCAGACTTGACAGAGAGCCCCATGCCAACAGCGAAAATGCTCGACCAAACCTTGGTGCCACCAACCTCTCTGTCATCCAATCGGTACTCTGGCTATCAGAGTAAGCTTCTGAGACACAAGCCACGATTCATACCAGCTCCCCTTCCCCCCAACTGGGCCACCTACTGAAGTCACTTCAGCTCTGTGAGGCTGTTTTTCCGTCTGAAAAATGGTGATAATAATTGCATCTATCTCAAAGAACTGCTTTGTGGATCAAATGCAATAACAACAACAACTGGGTAGAGTATGGGATAGTTTCTAATGCTGCTTTACTTTTGTTCTAACGAAAGTGCCTGGTACATAGAGGTATCTCCCCCTCCCTTTATTCATGAGTCATCTCAATTTGGTGAACCCATCCTTTAAAGCCCAGCTCAAATGTTCCCTTATTTGTAAAGCCCTCTCAGGCACCAAGACAGCACTGTCTTGTCCTTTCCCTGTGGTCTTTCTCGACATTGTACTTACTTCCATCACCACCAGGGTTGATAGTCTGGATATTCAGCAACTGGTGGGGTGTGGACATTGCCTCATCAGAAGGTAGCTGGCCTTGGTGCTGACAGCTGTCAGGTATTGCAGTTGCTGAGCTGTGAGGAGGTCCCGAGGTACAGGGGAGGGAGGCGGTGGCTTTGGTGACTCAGGGGGATAGGGTGGTGACAGGGTCTATTAACCAACTAGGGCGCAAGTTTTTGAATATTCGACAACTGAGGAGGAAATGGTGCTCACTGACTCAATCTCAGCCCTAATTACAATACTTATCTCACTGTAGTGCAGTCTTCTGTTGACTACCAGACTGAGCCCTGGAGTTCAGGAAGAGTGTTTCATTCATCTCTGTCTCCCTGATGCCTTGAACAGAGATGGTTGAGTGGAGATAAAGAACATGAATGAGGCTGTGAAGGGTCCCTAAATCATCTCCTTGGGACCCTCCATTTGGATTTGGGCTCTGACTGAGCAAGAGGGCTTCAGGTTATCTTTAGCTCACCAACTAGGATTTCAATAAGACACAACCCTGAATTTGCATATTCATATATGCAAATATGCCCCTTGATGTAATGTGCCTATCCTTGATTTTTTAAAGAGCCGTGTATTGGAAATACCTGCAGTGGAGTGTGGCAGGAGCCAGGGCATAGAAGACCCTCCACACTCAGGCTCCTGCTTATCCCCAGAACCCCAACTCTTGCCCTGGAATTCTGCTTCCATCCCCGACTCCAGTCTTTGTTTCCCGCTTCCTTTGGCTGATTCTTGCTCACCACTAGTTTCTCAGTCGTTGCCTTCTCTGCCCCAACCTAATGCTAACCCTAGTATCCCTTCCCTGCCTGCCATCTCCCACCCCATCTCAGCATCTCTGCATTAATTGTTGTGTGTTGTCTTTTACATTTTTTACCTTGTCTGTCTCACTTCTCTTAAGAAGGCACAGACTGTTCTATATTCACCGGATCCTGAGAGCCATGGCGGAGCTGACCCTTGATAGATGTTTTGGGAGATAATTGGTAGATTTGAATGAGTGATTGGATGGATTCTTCAGGGACAAGGACTCTGCTGTTCTCTTTAACAGGGAGCTCAGGAAAATCCTGGGCCGGGACTCTCAGAAAACCTGGGGTCCAACCTGGCACCTTTGTCCATCTCTGCCTTTTGCAGGAGAGAGGAGGAGAAAGGGTCTAGCGTGGAGGGCACTCAGAGGGCTAGACTTGGGGGTATCTGATGCCCCCAGAAGTCAGGCAACCAGGAATGGGGTGGGGTGAGCCATTAGGGCTGCACCTGCTATTTGGGACAGAGGAAGCTGAGAGCAGAGGAAGCTGGCGGGCGGGGGTGGGGGCCTGACTCTGGTCCCAAGTCATGCACGGACTAGCCTGGACCTGGAGCTGTACTATTATTACTACGACTACTCCTACTATTACCAGTGCTAACTATTGTCGCTACCCCATTGTTATACCCATGGTTACTCTCACTGCTGCCACTAGTTATTATTAGTAGCGAGCATGAAGTAGCATTTCCCCACTTGTCTGTTGCAATCTAAAACCTTTACTTAGGAGCGCCTGGGTGGCTCAGTCGTTAAGCGTCTGCCTTCAGCTCGGGTCATGACCCCGGGGTCCTGGGATCGAGCCCCGCATCGGGCTCCCTGCTCGGCAGGAAGCCTGCTTCTCCCTCCCCCACTCCCCCTGCTTGTGTTCCTGCTCTCGCTCTCTCTCTCTGTCAAATAAATAAATAAAAATAGTAAAAAAAATAAAACCTTTACTTACATCAAGTCCCTGAATCTCCATACCATACCTCCTAGGAGGCAGGTCTCATTGTTCTGCAGATTTACAGAAAACTGAGGCACAGAAAGTTTATGGAACTTGCCCAAGGTCCCAAGGTTGGTAAGTGTAGAGGCGTGAGCACCCAGGATGCTGTAGTCGTAACACCCATGAATATTTGCTGAGTTCTTCCCCTGTGCCAAGCACTGGGATCAACCGTTTACAGTATTACTTTGCTTTTGTCCACACTGCAGGGTTTTTGAAGAAGAGACTTATTCTCTGCATTTTTTTAACAGATGAGGAAACAGGGATTCCGAAAGGTTTAAGTAACTCTCCGTATCTCAGAGCCAGGATTTGACGGCATCATCATAGCCCTGTGTTTTGAAAGACTCCAACTTGACATAGCCCATGGAAGTCATTTCTCTTCTCTGAGTCTCAGGTTCTTAGTCTCTCTTCTTGGAATCAGGGCACTGAGCTGGGTGAGCTCTTAACGCCTGTCCCTTCTAGGTATGGGTGAGCTCTCAGCTCTTCTGATAGGGGTTGGGCCCATGGGAGACACTGAGGCTTCAAGAACCAACAGCCAGTCTGGTTCCTCACCAGCTGGTGTGGGAGGACCCCACTTTTTTTTTTTTTTTTAGGAACATCCAACCTTTCACAACATCTTGACAGACCTAGCCTGTTAGGGAACCATCAGGCAGGTGATCAAATAAGCCAGCTGCTCTCAATGGCTCTTTTTAGTGAGGGTCAGCGGGGGCCACCAAGTGGGCTGCCACAAATACCAGGACCAGAAAGACTGGATGATTTTGACTTGCTTCTTCTACTTCTTAGGCTTTTATTTTGAATTGATTTCTAACTTCGCAACAATTCTCCTGGGAGACAAATGAGATCATCATGCCCATTTTCCAGGTGAGGAAGTTGAAGCCGGGAGGGGTAGAAGGAATTGTCCAGCCAAGCCAAGCCTCCCACCCAGGCCGCCAGACTCTTTGCCATGCTGGGAAGACCTTTTATAGGACATCAGCGGAGGGGGAAATGCAGGTGGACGTTTTCCATCTGCAAAATACTCAGCAACCAAAGACACCTCTACAAAGGGGGGCCCTGGGAACGTTGTGGATGCTAGGCAGAGGATTTGGGCAAAATGAGACCTTGGTGGCACAGGGTGCCTCGACTGGTAAAGAAGAGTTTCCCAGAATGCACTGCAGGTGATAACTTGCGTCAACCGGGCCCAACTAGTGTTTATCATCGCCTTCCCTTCCTTGACCTTCCTGCAAGCACCTCGAGCTTCTCCTCACTTTCATCTCACCTGAAATTTACAACTTCACCCATAGCTAGAGGAGACAGGTCCCTTCCAGCGGCCAGCCGTGGTTGTAGGCTACGTCCATGTTGTGTCTCCTCCTGCTTGTGTATCTGTCCCTTTAGCATCAACAAAAGGCCTTCGTGTACTTTATCTTATTGGATGTCCTCACCAATCCCATATGAAAGTGGTATTATTGCAAGTTTACCAATGAGAACACTGAGTTTCAAAGAAGGGAAGTGACTTTCCCAAAGCCACACAACTAGGGAGTAGCAAAGCTAGGACTTGAGTTCAGCTCCAACCCTGAATCCCTTGCTCAGGAAACTTCCTGGCATCAGACTGTCTGAAGTCACATTCCGGCTCCTCCTTGTGGACCTGAGGGAGCGTCACGTGATTCCATTCAATGCTGGGCTGCTAAATCAGATTCGTAACCTCTCTGAGCCTTGTTTTTTTGGTCCCATCTGTGGAAGGGACCAGGGAGAGCAGCCACGCCCTCGATGCCCTGAGACCTTGTGTGGACACATGAGAGGACACAGATCAAGCGCTAGGAGCTCCGTGAAGGAAAATTCTCATATACTTTCAAGGCCGTGTTTCTATAGGTGAAATCAAATCCCGGCCGCTAATCAATGCTGCAGGCTAGCTGGCATCAAAGATGCAGACTTCACTGGAAAGCTGGAATGCCTTGGCTACATCAAAGACCCCCCTCTCTTCCTTCCTCCCCAAAGAAACCTGCTACGGTGTCTCACACATGCATTCCTGCAGATATCACTCTGGAGACCAGCGTGTATTTTTCAATGCTCCCCCGATAGAAAGCCTGGGTACTTTAGCTTTGCTTCCTCCCCCAACTGAGTGCTGCCAAAGGCTGGTGAATGACCACTTTGTTAATCAATAAGGAGGTCTGAAAGCCAGTGGGGTGTTTGCCCAAAACTGAGTTAAAATGTGCCGTACACTGCCCTGAACTTGCGCCTTCACCTTGCCCCGAGGGTCACGGCCAAGACTGGCCGAGAAGGCTGTGTGGAATACTTACTACACCCCTGGCCGACAGGAGGCTGAGCATCCGGAGGGGCTGGCTGGGCGGGTGGCTGGAGCGGGCCTCGGGGCTGGCCTTGCCGAGGGTCCTGGAGCAGCGGCGGGAGTGCCTTCGGCGGGACTTCCGCCCTTCCTCGGGGGACCTGCCGCGGTGCCTGGGGGAGCGGGAGAGAGAGATGAGAGGGTCTTCGGAAGGGGAGTGTGGCAGAGAGGTGGCTGCAGGGCCCACAGGATCGGAGGGCTATAGGATGTGTCTGGGACTGCTTATATAAACGACATGTGCTTCCATCCATCTCTCCATCCACCCCCCCACCCCCGACCTGCTCATTTGTTCATTCACTCCTTCTCTCATTTGTTCATTTGACAAATGTACCTGACTCTGTTTGGGGGGTGCTGGGAAGGCAGCTGGGAAGACAGAAAATGTCCCAGCCTGACTTGCTTTCATGTCCTGGGTGTGTGGGACTGTCTATCGGTATGTTTGTACATGACTGTGTGTATGTCTGGGTGTGTCCATCTGTGTTTGTCTATAAATATGACGGCGCCTATCTGTATGTCTTCGAGTATGTGCTTGACCATCTGTAAAATAGACGCATCCCAGTGACTGTCACCCAAAACTTTTGAAAAAAGAGTAGCTGACAAAAATAACAAGGAGGCCTTCTGTAAGCCTGTCAGACCCTGGGCTGCCCTGTCTGCTGCGGAAAGTGAAGGAATCTCTGACTCTTTAAGGGTATATTTTAGACTCTGCTGGCCTATTAGCTCTGGGCCACAGGAGTAATAAAGGTAACACCCTATTGATTTGCAATCCCCTCTTGGGGCAGTTCTCAGTCCTCTCTCCAACTTGAAGACACAACACAAACAAGGCAGGTAGTTCCCATTTTACAGATGAGGACGCTGAGGCTCAGAGCTCTTTGGGGACCCGCTGGAAGTCACACAGCTTGCGAGTGGCAGAACAGGGCCAGGGCAGGGTTTTCTGCCCCGAGAGGGACCGATGCCTCTTGGTCATGCTCTGGAATGTCCCTCTGTGCTCTGGGGCCTCCAGATCATTTTTATTGGGTGTGTGGCCCCAGAGCCGGCTCTCAGGTTGCTTTGATGCCCCCTGGAGTGTCCCTCAGCCCAACAGGCACGGGGGAGCTCAAGCAGCAACACCCCAGAAGAGGTGACATAAGAAGGGGACCGAGGCTGGGCTCTGCAGTGGGAGCCATCTCCCTAAGCGGTAAGGCAGAGGGCAGCAAGCTGTCTGCACCATCCTCTGACCCGGGCCAGTGGGGCTGAGCTGCTGAGAGCTGATTCAGCATGGGCTGGAGGTCAAGCGCTCTGTCCGAGCCCCGCCAGTCGCTGCGACCTTGCTCGGATGCCTGTGCTCGCCACGATGCGGTCTTCTCAGTTGAACCACATCAGTAATGCAGCTGAGCTCAGTGAGCCGATGCCCTCCAAAGGCCAGCAGGAGCATGCCTGTGGCTGAATAAGCTTGTTTACGGCTCCTTGCAGCGAGGGAGAGCACGCGCCACAGGAAGCGGAGAATGTCTCTGTACGAGTGTTGGGAAGAGCCTATTATGGGCGGGTGACAGGTGACTTTAAGGAGGGTTTAAGGAACTGGGGCTTTGTTCTGGATTAGATGCTAGCACTAAGTGGAGGTGAGACTCTCACTGGGTATCTTCATAAATCTTGGGCCCTAGACCAAGGCCAAAGCTCTAGCTGGTCAGGAAATAGCAGTCCCTCGTGTTAGCCAGGATAGAGAGATGCTGGGTCACTTTTGTGTTTTGGACAAAGTTCCTGTGTCATTGGGGCTCTGACCTGACTACCGAGGGATTTTGTTTTTGTCTTGATCACTCAGGGTCCCAGAGCAACCTTGCCTGATGCCAACGCTCTTTACAGTTGTTGGCGTCCAGCGGACACACCGAGGCCAATGAGTGATAGCAGCATGTGTCAGGGACGTTTTCCTCTTCTTCAAATACTTCTCGCACTTGGCTCCACACTGGCATCATGGGGGAGGATTTAAAAATCTCGCCGCCCCGGCCCCGCCTCATCTGAACAAGATCAGAACACCTCGAGGGTGGGATCCAGGAATCGGTATTTTAAAATTCTTCCAAGGTGACTGCAAAGTGCAGCCCCAGTCTAGCTCATGGTGTTCTTGAGATGATCAAGAGGGAAAATGTATTTGAAACTGTAGCACCAAGTAAGACTTCAACAAATATGCCCCCTCTCCTCCATCCCCTTCTTCCTCCAGACACCGGTTTAACTGGGATGCAGTGGGACCAGGACAGTGGCATTTTTAAATCTCAGGCGACACGAACACGTAGCCAGGTGTGTGGGATGCACTTGAGGAAGGATGAAGCAGCCTCTGACATCCGGAAGCTGGCCTTGCTGTGTCTGCTGGACAGCGCCGGTTTCAAAGATCAGCATCCACAAAGTCCCACTCTTTGTTGTTGTTCTTCTTCTCATCCACGAGAGAGCCCTCCTCCCCCTTCTCCGACCGGCACAGCTGATGTGTCGGCCCAGAGCAGGTCCAAGTTAGGAGAAACCGGACTTGGAAGGGCCTCAGAACTTGGGACTTGGGCTGTGTGGCGTTTCATAGGTTGCTCAGCCTCTCTGTGCTTAGAGCAACCCTTAGTGAGAGGGCCAAGCCCAGAGCCGGACTCCCCAGTCCAATCCTAGCTCTGTCACTTAGCAGCTACACGACTAACAAGTCCTTAACCTCCCTGTGCCTCAGTGTCCTCATCTTTACAATGGGGGAGAGCAATAGTAGCTACTTCATAGGGTAGTAGAGGGGATTGTGTGGTTGATACAGGGAGAGGGCTCACACCCCACAAGGTGGCAACGGCGGGGGTGGGCACTCGGAAGCACACGTGTGCACACGGGCCACTGCTGTTGTTCCTAGACACGGAGGCAGCTGGTCCCCTTTTCTCTACAGGGCGGTGCTGACATGGGCAGGTAAGGGCTGCCCCCCTGGGGCAGGGGCTGGGCGAGCGACTCCCCCAGGGAGAAGGGGTTACCTGCTCTCACAGCTTGAGGAGCGGGACTCGGAGCTCTGGGACCGGGAGGGATAATGGTGATGACGGTGACGGTGAGATTTTCGGGGCCGGCTTCGTGATCTTGGAAGGGGTGATGGGGAGCAAGTCAGAGGGGGAGAAGGGGAATGGGAGAGAGGGGAGGGTAAGAGGTAGGGAGAAAGGGAGAGAGAGATTTCGGTCTTGTGACACACATCATCCTCTTGCATCCAAGTCACTGTCCCTCGAAAGTTAGGCATTTCCTCCTACCTGCCCCCCACCCCGCATCTCCCCAGCTCTTCCCCTGGGCGTTCAGGGGCTCCAACCAGCCGTACGGAGCACGAGTGAGTGGCAAGGGTTCCTGTGGAGGAGGGGCCCAGGTGACTCAGACTCCCACCCTGCCGAGGCAGCCCTGATGGCGAGCACACGTGGACAGGAGTGTCACCTCCACTAGTCACCTCTCTCCCCCTGAAAGCAGGAGTCTCAATCTCAGTCAGCTACCCTAATGTGTGACTCAGTCAGGCGAGAGCTCAAGAAAGAAGTGGATGTGCCTCCAGAATATTGGCGTGCTGTTGGATCTTCTAACTCTTCAAATGAATGTAGAAATACAGACTTTTTTCATATAAAATATTTCTATTTTAAATGGAAGCTCTCTCTCTTTTTTTTTTTTTTTTTAAAGACACTGTTTAGGGGAAAAGAAAACACATTTGCAGAGTAAATGAGGCCTTTGGGCTGCCAATTTATAACCTCAGACCTGGAAAATTCAGTCCGGCTTTTTCACACGGAGTCAAAAGCCTACTTTCAGAGTTACAAACATCGCTGGCAACAAAAATTCTAACCACTTTATTACAGATTACTTCAGTTCCCCCCCTAAATGATAATAAGGACTCAGAAGTAGTAGCCACAGAGGCAGTGGTCACTGAGGATGTACAACGAATGTCAATGGTTTGGGCCAAGGCAGGAAGCCAGTGGGAGTTAGAGAGGGCTCTATCGGGAGGCAGTCTGGTTATCCCAATAAAGGACTCAGGGATTCTTGTTAATGTGATAAGCAGACCACATTCCTTCCCTGCTTAGAACCTTCCCATTGCCCTCATGTCAAATCTGCACTCTCATTTTGCACCCCAAGCACCCCGGAGGAGTCAGCCCCCACGAAGCTCTCTAGCTTCCTTGTGTGACATCTTCTGCCCTGGCTGGGTGGACTTAAGCAAGTCTGAACTGCTTGTATTCTGGCTCATCTATGTCCCAGTTCATGATGTCCTTGTGATGGTGATGATGACAGGCAGCCCGTATCTAACACATACTGCCTGCCAGGCACCATAGCCTAAGTATTTTTCTTAAATGGACCCATCTCTTCCTCTCAACAGCCTATGAAGTAGGTTCTCTTATTTCCCAGATGAAGAAACTGAGGCACCGAGTTTAAACCACTTGCTTAACCTGCAGCCTAGAATGGTTACCTCCATCCTTACCCTCAATCTAGACACTCCCTCCTGTCGGACGCCCCTGCTCACCACCAAGCCCTCTCTCCAACACCAGAGCTGCCACGGTGCCCTGGGCTCCCGGTGGTCCCCGCTGTGTCGTGACCAGTCCCATGTCTCCTGTGTCCTGCTGGGAACTGTGAGCTCCTTTAGTCCAGAAGGATATTTGGCTACTCTCTGTCCTTGGGCCCAGCCCAGGGCCTGCCATGTATTAGGGCCTCACTAAGGGATGTCGAATCCAAGGAGGCTAAATCTCTCCAGTGATCGCTTGTTTAGAAGCAGCCCTGACCATGGGACTTGGCAAGAAGAACCATCCTTTATCCTAGCGGCACCTTGTTTTTCTTGCTCTTCCCTCTCCTGACTCTTGTCTTTTGGCTTGTGTAACCTAGCAATTTCTGGGACTTATCCAGCTCTTGGCACCGGGGAGGGTGGCCACGTTGCTGCCCTCAAGCAGGCAGCCCCTGCCTCAGTGATGATTCCCCCCCACCCTGCCCCCTCCGCCTGTGCTCTCAGAGTCTGAGTCTATCCCCTGGCTCTATCTATACTGCAGTCCCAGTGGACAAGTAATGCAGAGGTCTCTGAGAATATGCACTCTATCTGCGCTTAGCGTGAATGCACACCCAATACATATGACCAATAATTGTCTTTTGACTCAAATTGAACAAGCTTGATGATTGGGAAGTTGTTCCCTGAGCTAATTCAAAGTCTACTGCTTCCTTCTAAAGCGTTCCCCAGGCCCCCTGTGGGGATGGCTCAAATGTCCTCCTTTGCACTGACCTTGGATGAAGTGACCCTTTGGGCACCAAAACGGGGTGCCCTCCCTCTGCATCCCTGCCTCCTCTTTTCCCTCCCCAACAGCCAACCACCTTTCATCCTATTGCCTTTGATCCTCACTTTAGAAGCTTCTTGGCGGGAGATAAAATATTAGTTGATTGGAAAACACATGCACTAACATTTGCAGGGTATAAAGTAGGTGGGTTGTAACCACATTTACTTTTAATTTGTCTGGGAACTGAACTCTGCAGGCAGTGCTAGCTGATTTGAATTTCTACTACCAGCCATAAACCATGAACCAGCTGGGGCCCCAAGACCAGGGGTAGGAGCTTCACTGCCATCAGCCAAGGCTCGGACTCACATGCATGCTCACGCCTGTGCTCACACGTGATCATGCCCCATCACCACTCACGCACACATGGCACACCTGTGTGCACGGGGAAAAGCCACCCCGCACCCACCCTCCCTATGCGTAACACAGGTAAGTAAGCAGCGCGCACGCAGCGTGCAGAAAATCAGCACCTCCGTGCACACTGTCTGCCTTCATGCTCACACAAGCGGGAGCCTAGAGAATGCATTCGTGTGAACACAAGTACATACCACACCCACACTACCCCCACGGCATACATTCGTACCCACGGTCACACAAATGTTTGCAGGAGGGAAAGATGTACAGAGGTCTACAAACAAGGTGTACCCTACACATAGACATCCTTCAGAAAAGTATATACGTGGTGCCCGCCAGGCACACAGATGTACCGCAATCACTTTCATGCTCACACAAATGCATGCACACATGCATCGTATACACAGCCTTGTGCACTCACACATACCCAGACCCACAACTGCCGTTCATCTTGGTTCTGCCTCTTCCTGCCTCTGTTCCTCTCACCCACCCCCTTCTCCCTCTCCCTGTTTATTTGGCAACTCCAACACTCCAGCTGTTACGAGGCCAGGTTCCCCTCCTCCCCCAAACTGGAGAGAATTTTCCAGGTGGTCTCTACTTACTGTTTTTTGTGCCTCTTCTCATCCCTCCTTTTGCTTTTTGGGCTGGAGGAGCTAAAGGAGAAATGGCCAATTAATTGAAAGATGCAAAATTCCAGTTACAGTTAAAAAGAAACAAGTAGTTAAAATGCTTAACACACAGTGGCCACCAGATCCGGGCAGTTTGGGAACAGACACTAATCATTTCCAAGACCAGGGCAGTCACCGACGCTGACTTTTTCACCCAGCAGGTGCAGCTACAAACAGGGACCCACACACGGACTGAGAATGGGGTGCGTTGGGGGCCATGGCAAGCTTTGGCAGCTTAATAAAAACAGTGGTAAATAAAGGTGATACCTGTCATTTTTCGAGGACTTCTTATAGGTGAATACTCTGCTAAATACTTTTTGTCAGCAATCTTATTTTATTCTCCCTGCAACCTATGGGAAGAGGCACGTTTAACGCGTACTTATTTTACAGATGGGGAAACTGAGCCTCAGCTAGGCTAAGAAACTTGGCCAGGATCATACAGGGGAGCTGGGATGCGGCCCCAGACCGTGGATCCCCAGAGCCATGCTGTTGACTGATGTTCAATCAATTTGTAAGAGAGAAGAATGGTATATGCAGGGAGATACTCTGAAGCTTCATGAAGCTTGGCAGATTCAGAAATGTTCTGCTCATCCGTTTTTGTTTTTGTTTTTTTTAATTTGTTTATTAGAGAGAGAGAGCGAGAGAGAGCGCGCAAGAGGGGGTAGGGTTAGAGGGAGAAGCAGACTCCCCGCCGAGCAGGGAGCCCGATGCGGGACTCGATCCCGGGACTCCGGGATCATGACCTGAGCCGAAGGCAGTCGCTTATCCAACTGAGCCACCCAGGCGCCCTCGTTTTTGTTTTTTAAGTCAGAGGGCTGGGGTATGGGTCCAATGGACAGTGATGAGTCGGGGTCCCAGCATTATCAGCTAGAGGCCCCAGAGGGTGAATGCTGTTTGGTAATATTGGCTTCAGAGGGTCACCAAGAATGGACGATGGGCCCCGGTCCTGGAGAGGGGGAAACCTCATCCAACTGAAATGGCACCTCGGCGTTAGCTGTGCGATTTCTCTCCACTCTTGAGACTCAGCCTGGGCCATGGAAGAGCCCAGGACCTCACTGAAAGATCCAGGTTCACGCCCCAGCTCTGCCGCTCAGTCGCTGCGTGACCTGAGGCAAGTTACCTGTCCTCTGGAAGACCTGGTTTCCTTGACCGTGAAGTGGGGCCATTGCTCAGGCTGCTGGGCTGAGGGGATGGATGACACTGGTAATCGCTCTCTACCTGTTAACTGGATAAACAGAAGGACTCTGCACTCTGACAATTGCTGCAGATTTGGCTGTTACTCAAGATACCAAGGTAGGGAGTCCCGATCCCCTGTCTGACAGATCTGGGCTTGCCACCTGACTGTGTCTGTGGACACACCTGTCACACCTCCTGCCTGAATCTCAGTTTCTTCATCTGTAAAATGGGAATAATAAACATATCCACTGTACCGGGTTATGAGGGAGATCAGCGGAGATTCAATGGGCACACACACAGAGCAGGGGCTCAGTGCAGGATCCAATTTATAGCGAGGACCCTGTCGGCGACAGCTCTATTTATGCTTACTTAGCGTTTCCAGTACAGTTGGACTTGGCTTCTGTCCCTTGGCTAGGATCTGGGGAGGCTTTGGCGGGATCGGGGTGCTGAGGTTTCCCGACATGCCCCAATCCAGGATTTCAACGAGTGCCAAAACGAACGGACTCTGACCAGGGTAGTGAGACTTTCCAGGGAGGGGCAGGGGTAGGGGCTGGTCGAGGAGCAGCCGTCTGGCCTCGCCGAAGTCAAAAGCTGGCTGGGAACTCTCAGGGAAACCAACCCAAGGCCTTCGTCTTGGAGGAAACGGAGGCCCAGGAAGATGAAGGGGGCATGACCAAGAGCACACCCCAGAAGCTCCCTAAAACCTTCTTAGGAAAGCAGGAAAGAGAAGCAAGCAGCCAGAGGTGAAAAGATTCTTACCTGTGCCTTCTCTTCTTGGAGAACGACCTGATTAAAGGAATTAAAAGGAAGAGAGAGAGGGAGGGAGGGAAGGGAGCGAGGAGGAAGGAAGAAAGGGATGGAGGGAGGATGAGAAGGAGAGAAGACAATAAACATCGGTGAGCTGAGGTTTTTTTTTCCTGGGACAAATGTTATCAGTGTGTTTGTGATCATGCTACATGGAGGTCAGTCGGGACCCCCTCAGAGTTCAAAGACCATATGGGAGACACTGGTTTGCATTTTGAATTTCCAGTCTAAACGACCACTGCTTCAATCCTCACCCCAAATTGTCTGTGAGCCTGTCTCGGATGGGGGTGGATGTGGGGGATATACGGGAGTCCTCTGCCTCCTCCTCGAAACCCAGTCTCACCTTCACCTTTCTCTCCCTAGTGGTGGATTCTTCATCACCATCTTCCTCGTTGTCAGGGACAACCAGCTCCCATATGTGGAACTCTCACTGTGTGCCAGGCTTTGTGCTAAGTGTCTCTCACACACAATCCCACTTAGTCTTTACCCAAACCCTGCGAAGTTCTACTAACAACCATTTTACAGACACTGAAGCTCAGAGAAGTTGAAGTTGCCCAAGGTCACACAGCTCCGTGTAACTCCTGCGGATTCTTCAGAGTTCCATTCAGATATCACCTCCTTGTAGCTTTTTCTGATCCCCTCAGGCTGGTCGGTGCCAACTTTCTGCTCCCACAGGCTTGGGTGACCTCTGAGCTTAGCCTTATAGTACACACCTCTGCCAATTAACATTATCCATCTCCCCGACTAGAATGTGAGCAACTCAAGGGCAAGGGCTGGATTTTGGTCACTGCTCTGTTCCCGGGGCCCAGATTCCTCATTCATGACACATATTGAGTATTCAATAAATAGATGTGAAAAATGGGATTTTTTTTTTTTTTTTAGCCCTGAAGCCATGCTAATTGAGGGGAAAAAAAGAAAAATCTCTATGCATCCCCCACCCCTGCTCCTATCTCCAAATCAGTCAACTATCATTAACCCAATATCTCAAGAGCTTGGAGAAGCTGGGCCAGAAGGAGGGTAGTGCTCAGCAGGTGCTTTGGAAAGGATCAGCAACAGTATCTCTTCCTCCTAATCTCCCATTGATGGGCCTCCTTCCCTCTCCACCTCCACCTCCTGGGCTGGCTGTGCCTGGCAGAAAAAGCCTGTTTCTAACCTTCTGGCACAGTCTCTTTTTCATGAGGAGAAACCCTTGAGTGAGAAGCCACTTGAATTCCACAATCCCGATACGGAGAAGTCCTCCAAACTGGGACCGATTGGTCAGCACAGGAAGGTGACAGGATGGCAGTCCCACTCAGGGGCAGGCCACTGGGAAAGGCTTCTAACACCAAATTAACAACCTTTTGCTCATCGGCTTGCCCACATCTTGTGTTAAGCACAGACTCAGCATCAGTCGAAATGTCTGGGACAGTGGACATAGCTGGTGAAACCAAACTGAGTTGAGACCATTCTGGCAACAAGGGCTGCGACGTGACCACGGCCCTGGCTTGGAAAAAGCCACTTTGGGGGAACTTTGAACCCGGGGTGAGAAGCAGGGGGAAAACCCAAATGAACCCTTACCTTTTGTTCCACTGTGACTGTCTAAGGGCAGAAGTAATCCACTGCTGATGTAGGGAGATTGGAAGATAGGGCTGAGCAAAGAGAGGACACACACCACTCTTCCCGTCATCCACAGCCAAACACAGCAAACAACTTATGTGCGGAATTTCACACTCCCTGCCCCCAGGGGCCCAGAGGGCTTCCTCAGTGAGGGGGCGCTCAGTGGGCTCAGACCTGTGCCCCTCTACGTGTAGGCTCAGACCTACGCTCTGTCTACATGCACAGCAACCCCTCAGCTTCGCTGATGGCTTCCTATGGGAAAATAAGTCCAGTGAAGACAGCTGCTGCTTTTTACAGGGGAACTGGAAAACCTGATTTTTTCATTGCACAATTTCCCAATTATAAAATGCTGAGTTGGCCCATGGACCACAGATATGAGTCCTCTGGTGTACATCCTTCCAGTCCTTTCTTCCCCATATACGTGTGTGTGTATGTGTGTGTAGTAGGCACCTTTTGGAATGTGTGTCCAGTTCACAATGCCCCCAAGGGTGGACAATCCCAGAAGCCACATTTTACATGATCCCATCCTCAAGGACAAGTTGGTCCAACCACAGAGTTGGGCCTTGGGAATTTGGAATGAGGAACAAATAAGACAGACAGCTTCAGTGTCTTCTTGAGGCTGGGCCGGCCACACAGAGGGATGGGCGCAGGATGCAGCCGGGTCTCCACTCCTTGGTTCTAGATCCTCACTGAGGCCTGGCTGGTCCCTGAGACATTCCTGTCCCCTTATCGTCAAACAGACCCCCTTCTGGCCAGAGTTAGCTTTAGGGGGCCTTAGTTCCTTGCACCCAGAGTTCCAAGTTATACAAGGAAAAGGAAATACCAACACACAGATGAGTATCTTACGTAAGTGAAATGATAAGCTTATCACCAGTGAACTTCTGGCGCCCCCCACTCTCACCCCAAACCCCCAGCCCACCTGGGGCGGACCTGTTTGCCGAGGCAGAAGAACAATACCTGTGTCGCTTATGTTTTTTGGAGCCTTTCTTCTTCTTTTTCTTGACAGGCGATGGACTGTATGACGGGGACCTGCGGGGGAAGAAGACACCTTCAGTGGGAGTTCCTTAAGGACCAGGGTTGGCTTCAGAGACCCTTCTCTAGCCCCCACACAGGATCTCACACACAAGAATCATACCAATCCTGATATTATCAGTACTTGCATTTACTGATTTGCTATAATCAGATTTGCATTTTTTTTCAACATCGCCCTGTGTTTTATATGCATTATCTCACTTCATCTTTCCACACGCTTCTTAGGCAGGCAGGATGGTTACCTTCTTTTTACAGACAAGGAAAGGAGGTTCAGACAGGTAAAGTGACTTGCCCAAAGAAAGACACACATCTAGGAAGTGGATGGGCCAAGACTCAAACCAATGACAGGGGCCTTGCTCTCAATCCCTTTATCATCCCTCCTCGTCAGGTCAAACACTTTGTGTCTGCTCTTCTCCACCACCCCCCACCCCCCAGCTATGCCCCTCCTCTCAGATACTTTAGGCCTCTCTTCTGCCTTACCCTGGCCCCCTGGTAAGATCGAGCCCCTGGAGAAGACCTCATCAGGCTGTGGTTAGCATGGTGCTATCAGGGGTTCCCCAAGAAACAGAGCCACCCCAGGGCCATGATTATGACTATGATTCAAGACTGAGGTGGGGCGCCTGGGTGGCTCAGTTGGTTAAGCGACTGCCTTCGGCTCAGGTCATGATCCTGGAGTCCCGGGATTGAGTCCCGCATCGGGCTCCCT